GGGGGGATGGGGGTTCCATGGAATCATGCATGTAACGACACCTGGATCCACCACAGTACGCCTTCTACCGCTGTCATATTGGCATGAATACTAGATATGGTGATCTTTTTCAAACTCATCCACGCTTTGCTGAACGACAACTCAAAGAAGAACGAAGAAAAAAACAGAAAAAAAAAACAACAAATAAAAAACTAAACAGTCCTTGAAGACACGACATTAGAGATTAAGAACACCACACACACAACTCTAACCTTCCAACTACTCCGTGGTTCAATGACCTGCAACGTCTTACCTGCTGAATCCGCGAACACTAACACTGTCGACTTAACTCAAAACCCGTCTTTTCCGATACTAAAAGTCTGCACTTATCTCACTCTGCGACATGAAGACCCACGCACTCGGAAATCTTTGTGTCAAGTGTCCCACTCTGCACTAAGAACCCTATTAAAAACTTTAATTTGAGCTTTGATTTGTATTTCTTGCAGCATCTTTAGAGTATGAAATGGAATGAAATCGATCATTCGATTGCACGTGGTAAGGCAAAGAATGTACATACAGTTTATATCAATAATAAACCGCTAGTGTTAATGAATTAAATAAAAAATAAAATAAACGATGATATGCATTGTTGTTCTTATGCATGGATACTCATGGGCTAATACCGATGTTATCGATATACTGGTATACTGATGACGTTGTACTTGAGTACTATAACTATAAGATGATCTTAGGGTCACTATTCACTCACTACTTAACTCGTACGGTCGGGTTAATCACGATCAAAGCGGGCAGGCAGATCGACAGGATTGTGGACTGATTTAAGTTTCCTCTAAGTTTATTTTTTCTTTAAAAAAACAGGGATCAATGGCATGGCAATTCAACGGTTAGTGTCAAATATCCTTCTTACGACTTACAATGCACGGTGACCTTGCGTGTACAATTTCAAGAACGTTCTAAGCTATTTCGAACCAAACAGTGGTAAATTTTTATGTCCGTCCTGGAAGCCCTGTACTGAAGGACTGAAGTACCAGGATATGTATTGCCATTAGGATAGGTCCAAAAAAACTCATTCACTGGCGGTTGTCCTTTTCCAACGCATGTCAAATTAACTAACCCACTTTTATTTACGATAACATTTGGCAAATCTGGATATATGGTACAACCAACAGGATCTGTATTACACAATAGTGTACATATTAGTGATACATAATATGTTTTCAGTCGGAGAAGAAATGAGAAAAATAAATAAAACCATGCACTACACTGAAATATATACTCCCACAACAGAACCGAAGGATGGTTTTACAATGTATTTCCATCTACTGCGTTTGACTAAAACGAATGTTTAGATTCTAGACTTCGCTGAGGACGATATTCCAGGAAAGCAGCTTCTCCGCTGGAACTTCGCATGTTTTGTAAGCACCCTTATAACAATCAATTTGCTTTTTTTTTTTAATGAATGTAAATAAATATTTAAATAAAGCAGTTTAGAATTATGGACGTATGCCACGCCATTATACATACTAGAAAAGTCACCAAGGTAACAGACACCGAGAAGGAATATAGCAAGTATTTCTTTTTCAAACTTTGACAGGATAATCCAATCGAATAACCGGGATGGTGGTAGCTCAGGGTGAAACCGCGCTTTTCGTGGAGGATACAAACAAATATTTGTCGCATATTTGCAAAAGAAAATACGACATAAATGATAAAACGAGTAACTGCAGTTTACTTACATGCAACTATTACACTCGAGGTGCTACTGGAATCACCCAAACTATTTTTAGCAGTACAAGTATAGTTTCCTGTATCTTCTAGTGTTGCGTTAATCAACACCACTGTTCTTCTATTGTCTTTGGTCAGCAGTGTTCTGTTTGTGGTGGACGTCCAAGAAAAGGTCGGTTCAGGCTCGCCTGGAGCAGAGCAATGTATTGATCCGTTTTGGTAGTTTTCAATTATGACTAACTTCGAAGTCACAGCCACCGGAGGATCTGATAAAATATAAATATAATTATTTGAAAAGGTAAAGGAGCAACACACAAATAAAGGAGAGTTTCTTTTGTTATTAACATAGTTAATGGAGTGGTATGGTTAGAAAACTCCATAGAACAAAGCTATCGTTTTGCCTTTGATGTTGAACCGTAACATCACATGATACTGACCCTGCACAATTTCCTTATTATTTTCATGTATGAACACTTAATTGAAAGTAAAAACTTCATTCCATGACCAAAACCATGCGAATGAATATTTCCGCGCAGATGCAKTTAAGTTACTAGATGATAAATAAAAAAGCATTAAAAAGGGCAATTTCATTTTCAATAAACAATTGATATTAATCATATACGATTAATTAACAAATAATACATATTTGAGAACGATCTTTAAGTGTAAAAAACTTTTATATTCCCCAATACTGTGAACAAATGGAGAAACTTTTCCTTCACTGCTCACTCTAACAATGGATAAAGACGAACAAAAACATAGAACAATAGGTTTCATAACCATTCCGCTCCATAACTATGGCACAACTAACAGGATCTGTCAGTATTACACAATGAAATGAGAGCTATACATGTAATATAGGGCTTAACTTGTTCTCGAAGGAAAGACAGCCAGAAATGAAAATCATCAGTGAGTTACTCACTAGTCAAAAAGTTAACAAATGCGTAGTTAATGTTACTGTCAAGAGACAATATAAGTTTGGAGCCATAAACAATTCGGTTTAAACATAAATGGCTGGCTACACGGAATTGGAGTGAATACCGGTAAATCCGGTGTCAATGAGTAGAATGAAAAATTTGAACAAGATGCCAATTGGAATGAGGCAACGGGATGTACATAAAGGAGAATGAATAATCCTTCACGCTGCTTTATTTACTTTAGATAAAGCATTTACTGGTTTAAGTGACGGCCTACTATTGAACGTTCGATTTTAGTCTACGACAATGATGTGCTTGCACACAAAAACCCCCAAAACCAGATAACAAAGTTTAATCGATCACCTTTTAAAATAACAGGACATTTTCTAAATATCTTCCTTTTTATATAAAACATAAACAAAGTTTTGATAATGATAAAGTTTGAAAATAACGGTAAGAAAGAAAAAAAACGGTAAGTGCAAGTTTATGTGTCTTTGGCACTCGTTTTGGACACATATTTTTTAATCAAAATATCAGTAGAAAATAAATTTAATTACATTTATATCGGGAGTAAGTAACAATCGTGAGGAAAGGAAAAAGTAAAAAAAGGAAGTATGAAGTACTAAAAAAATGAAGATCACAAGAGAATGGATTGTTAAAAAGAGTCCTCCTATTGAAAATCATGGAATATATTTAAAACATGGGCAGATAAATATGAAACTACAACTAATACTATTTCATTATTATTTATTGAATGATAAATGAATTACAAACTTATCTCTCCCCTCCCTACCCATTCAAGAAAAAAAGAATGGAATATGACTTTTCAAAGTTTTCTTGGGTTGGGGGGGATAACGCCTAATAAAAGCTTGATTACCGGTGACCTTATTGTTTTATTTTTTCCTTTTTCTCAAAAAATTGGCGATACGTTTTTGTTTAATCGTAATTATCTCGAAAATGACTGCTTTTCAGGTTTGCAATTGTTCAGCATTAAATTTGGGTTTTAAAAAAATCGTGATTTAAAAACAATGTTATGGATTGTTTCAATTTAGTAGACAGTCTCCTCAAAGACAAATGACAAATGAATGACACAGAACTCTGGGTTACCTATATTATATGTATTTTCCCAAATCAAAATCCAGATATCACGAAATATCAATTCAAGACTAATATCCACAAGACAAGAAGAGATAAACGTGCACCTAATTATAGTCTGAGAGAATATACAGTAATGTCTAACTACATTTAATAAATGCATCATTACTTACATTGTACAGTGACGTTACTTGTGCAAATACCCGGATCACCAACACCATTATACACAGAAACCTTGTATGTTCCAGTATCTTGTCTTGAGGCAGTAAATGTCAGTGTGCTATTGGCGGTCAGTCTACGTCCATTAGGATGAGTCCAGATGTACTCATAAACAGGTGGGTATCCTGTGGTGGTGACGTTTAGCAAGACCTTGTCTGTTTCCTTAACTGTTGTTGCATCAGGATGTATGATACGCGATGAAGGAACTGAAATTGTTAAAAGAAACAAGTAAAATTGATGTTCCAGTGTTGGTAAAGTAAAATAAGCGATTAGTTAACCTCCTTATCTCTCTATCCCTTCTAAAATAGGAAAAAACGATTCTACCACTGTTTTCATAGCTAAGCGCATATCCACTATCGTTTATAGAGCACACTGATAAAGGTACTTGGGGACCACGAGAAGGTACATGGAAAACTATTCTAACGATTTATTTGATTGAAGGTAGTTTATTGACATATATATTACCCGATTTCCATGTTGCAGCTATTCTCTCGATAAGCGCGTAACAATTAAAACAGTAAGTGGTAAAATTTCTACCACTCAGCACATGCTAGGATAAATAATGTACATTTGAATGAATTATATGGTATACCACTACGGATGGTAAATACAATGAATTATACAATTATACAAATGGAATTCAGTGAATGTCAAGCCACTCATGGAAATGACGCGTTACTGTTAAATATCACTGTTGATCTTATGCACCTATACTTTGAAGCAAGGATACACTAATGAGCTGTAGGACTAATATTTTGATACACATATATAATGGTGTACTAAAATCCTATGGCCTTATTATACAAAAAGACCATAGTGCCTATGACACGTCTGACAATATTCTCGGTACAGATTCTACATAAAGATTTGTGTGAACAAACTGGCTTTAAAYACAACTTGAAACCTCAAGCAACTTCTCAACAAAAGTCTGTAATTCACGTTAAATAAAAATTTAGAAAGCAAACGAACTGTTGGATGAATTAAAATCAAAAATAAAAGAGTCACATCAAGATTAATTTAAGACATCTTCTGTGGCCAATTTTAGATAAGCCGATAACTGCATGCTAACTTCGGATCGTGGTGCTAGTCCAGGCGAGAGGAATTTTCCCGTGTGACCGTGAAATCTCCAGTACTTAAAAAATCTATAAAAAGCTTCTTTTGGCAAAGAAAATAAAGATCCTTCAAAGCATTTTTGTGCTCTTGAAGTTTTAGACAAACTAAACATTGATGGCTTAAAAACTTGCCAAAGACTATCTTCGAAAAAAACTAAAAGTCGTTATATAGTTCATCCAAACGGTAATGCTGTGTTCAAAACCTGAATTAATCCTGCAGGTAGAATTCCAAGTAAGTTTACATCTCGCCCAGTGCAAAACATAGATTATTTATAGTCGTCTTTTGCTCTTTCTTTAACAAAAAGTTTAAGTCAACATTTGATAAAACACTGGAAAAAATATCTTCGAATTCTACACTTTCTTCGTCGTCAGTCGAGACGCCTTGATTCTGATACAGAACTTGATATCATTGCTAGCCACTTGATTATTGACACGATAGTTCTTGTCCAATTAGATTCTACATTCAAATTTTTAACATAGAATATGAAAAATACTGAGCCTTGGAGGCAGGCCCTCCCTCTTTCCTCTTCGCCCTCCCCTCCCCTCCTCTTCCCAAATCACCCACTCCTCGCAAAAGGCAGAGAGCCGCTATGCAGACTAATGTTCAGGGTAAAGGTGAGTAAATCCATAGGTGACTAATTATTATAAGGCAACTGAGAAATGAATGAAACAGAACATAAATTATCCCAAATGCAATTAATATATAAAAGGGACAATTACTGACAGTGCAGACACAGTGTGGACACACTAAGCTAACAAGGACCACTTGAAGAAAGTTAATCAATCACGATATAGAGTGAAAACCAGAGGTTGCAAAGGGGGTGGGGGTTCCGAAATCCCTGGAACCCTCCCTTAACTACGCCCCTGTAAACAATGGAATCGACAAGGACGACGACAACGTATTTTATTGGCTCCGTATCAGCATATTTACATTGGATTGCTGCCAATAAAAATATAGAATGATTCAATTAACTAATATATATTGACTTATTGTTTATAGCAGTATCAGCGATCGCCGCCCATCGATCTATATATAGTCTTTTCCTTTTTTCACCAAAATATTGATAAGTTAAATTTGTCAAAGATATTATTGCTCTAGATTATCCCTCTTTTTAAAACAGTAATGTATATATTTAGCTAATTTTTTTCTGATTGGTTCGTTTGAGTTTATGATTAAATTGAATTTCTCTTCTTCGTTTAACCATTCTATTTAAAAGTTTGCTGTCTCCTTTATCTTATTCAGAAGATTTTTCCTTCAGTTCTACGATATAATTTGAACATCTTAGAAGGAAGTGTGCCTCATCTTCAACACCAATCAAACTTGAACAAATCATCAGTGAAGCATATATACATTTGAGAAAAAACTTGGAAGTTATCAACAACCATTGGAATAAGTGATTGTGATTGGCTGAGGGCAATATGATACTGCTATTGCTCTCTGCTGATTGGCTAAAGTCTTTTTATATCTTAAATTTTGTTCAACTTGTCCTGGTTAGTGTGTTCACACAGCAATAACTGATCCACAAGAGATTAAGGTAAGAGATAAACGTACACCAATTATGATCAAAGAATATACTGTCTAATAACTGATATTACATGCATTATTACTTACATTGTACAGTGATGTGGCGTTTGCAAATACTCCTATCACCAACACCATTATACACAGACACCTTGTATGTCCCAGTATCTTGTCTTGAGGCAGTAAATGTCAGTCTGCTATTGGCGGTCAGCCTACTTCCATTAGGATGAGTCCAGATGTACTCATAAACAGGCGGGTTTCCTGTGGTGGTGACGTTTAGTGACACGTTGTCTGTTTCATTAACTGTTATATTTTTACCAGGATATATTTTACACGACGAAGGAACTGAAATTGTTAGCAGAAGTAATTAAAGACAAAGTCGACAGTAAAATAAGAAAAATAAGCTTACAGATTAACCTCCCTATCCTCACCATCCCATTTCACAAAAAAACGTTTTTGCAACTTGCATCTTGCATGCTGCATACTACGTTGGAAATGTTTTGTGGATCACTTTTAAAAATTCAGCACGAAATATGCCGGAAAAACGTGCTGACATAGTTGTGGAAAATTCCATATTGTTGTTACCTTTTGCTATTCTTAATGATCAGAATGATATGCACGGTGGAATTTGAGTAATAAACCCAAAACAATAAGTGTTAATGGACATGTTCACGTAGATTACGTAATATCTTAGCCATAAATACGGCTGTTAAGCAGAGGTATTGCATTCTTGCTCAGTTTTACCAGCGGTAAAAGACGAAGC